GTTCCCTGCATTAAATCTGAATTTTTCTCACCTGCATGCCTTTGCCTCATATAGCTTACCTAGATTTTAGCAAACCTGTTAATATTTCATATAATTCTTGTAGAAAAATATGAAGGGGCATAAGCTAGACAATAATACAATTAGATGGATTTGGAACTGGTTAAAAGATTGGACACAAAAGGTAGTCAATACTGTCTTTAGTGGAGTGCCCTAGGGAGCTATGCTTGGCTCTTTGCTATTTAACATCAGTTGAAAAAATAACAACAACAACAACAACAACAAAAAACATAGATAGTATGTTAATCAAATAGCTAACACAATGGAGGACAGAGTCAAGGCTCAGAAAGATCTTGATAGGTTATAATGCTGGGCCCAAACCAGTAAGATGAAATTTGAGATGGATAAATCTAAATTTGATTTCCAAACAAACAAAAAACTTCACAAGTACAAGACAGGGAAGAAGTGGCTAGACAATCATTTGTTTGAAAGAGATCTGGGAGTTTTAGTGGACCACAAACAAGTTCAATATGAAAGCCCAATGCAATACGGAAGCCCAAAAAGTTAATACAATCTTGTGCCACATTAAGAGTTATCACTTCCAGGGGCACTAGGTGGCACAGTGGATAGAGCACTGGCCCTGAAGTCAGGAGGACCTGAGTTCAAATCTGGCCTCAGACCAAACACTTGACACTTACTAGCTGTGTGATCCTGGGTGAGTTATTTAACACCAATTGCCTAAAAAAAAATTATCATTTCCAAGAATGTCAGGAGGTGATAGTTCTGCCATTCTCTGTCCTACATCTGGAATACGGTACTTAGTTCTCAGCATCATGTTTTACAAAGGATGTTGATAAACTACAGGGCATCCAGTGGAGAGCAATCAAGATGAGGAATGACTTTCAGTTCATGTCACATGAGGATTGGCTGAAGGAAATCCTGAGGCCTGGGAATGGTTTCTTGCAGGAGGTGCGACTTCAGCTGATGCTTGAAGGAATGACTACTATATAGCAGATTTTCAAATATCTGCTGAGGAAAGGAATGAATAATGATAAAAAATGATTGTTTCGTAAGAATAGAAAGTGACCCAGCAACAGTGATTGTTAGCCATTTGGTATTTTCAAGTTTGATGTTTTTTTTTTTTTAATTGAACAGGGCTTCCCTGAAACAAACACCCACCTTTTTTGAACACTAATATTCTTCCAGGGATGCTATCTGGTTGCAAATCATAGAACATTGAAGTGTCCAACGAACCAAAATTGCAGGCAACCCAAAGGGTAATGGAGAGGTACATGGTGGGCAGATAAACAACTAACTAGCTGCAAATAAGAAATGAGTCAAAGGCATCTTTCCAAGAGCTGTGATAGGAAGACAAGGCCAGTAATGTATCAAAGAGTAAAGGACAACAGGTGGGCAGTCCAAATAGGACACCGTGACCCATAGAATATTAAAAGACCTTGAGGAAGGCTCCTAGCATGTTGGGTGGGCCCCCTATGGAGGATTTATTGGAGAACACACATAAGAGTCATCCAGGATGAGGGATGGAAAGGTTGCAGTCTTCAACATTGAAGAGAGCACCATGTCAATAAGACCATTGATAACGTACAAGTACTAAGGAAGTACTAGGTATAACTTGGAGTTGGTAAGGGTTCTTCAGGTCCAAGGTTTTGCTAAAATTCAGTTTTGTGTATTAGAAATCTTTTTTTTCCAGAGAGCCTTCTCCTCTTCAACAAATCTAGGAGGTTCCTCTAAAAAGAGATAAGGGAGCCACACATCTGGTGTCCATAGCTCCTGGTTTCTGAACAAAGAAGTTCAGATCAAAGACATTTTTTCTGCTCCTATATTCCTTAATGGAGATATGCTGCTATCACAAGAAATATTCCATCAGGAATCAGTCAGCACTGAGCCAACACTAGCTCCGGGGCCATAAAATGATTAATTAAAAACAAATATACAAACAGGATGTTTCTTTTTGCTGTTGACATTGAGAGTGACTCCGACCATGGTAAATCTAGAAACAGACCTGTCAAGCCTCAGCATACAGTAAAGAGTCAAGAAACTCACACTCATCCTGCCACCTCTGCCCCAACGAACTAAGTGATCCGGTGTTCCTTCTGCCTTATTAGATCCCGAGGGTATTGCTCGGGCTCTCAGGAACCAAGGAAATGTCACTGGCAATTGGCAGAAGGGTTAGAAGCAATTAGAATGCCATTAAAAATGACTTGCCTCATTCAATGATTTCAAGGCTTAAATGCAAATCCATATAGGGTGTTTCCAGCATTGTGTAAACACTGGCTTGTTATTAAATGCAATTGTTTTGCTTGGGCCTGTAGCCCTTGGCCAAAAAATATTTTCTATCATAAAATACCTTGGGCTGGATTCTCGAGTATGGGTTTTCAGAAGTCCAAATGGAGATCTTAAAACTGAAATAGTCTCTAGCCAAACTGGAGGTGAATTTTCCCTCTCTAAGATTATGTTATGGGTATGATTTAGAAATCCAGAGTCTTTTAGGATCTATCATGACTATCAATGAAATGAATTTATTTCCTTCTTGGACGTTGATTCTGGGAGTCTCAGGTGATTTGCTGGTCATTGTTTGGAGAAGGTGTGTGCAAACAATGCTGTACTAGCTACCAGCTCCAGTAGCCTGTCTCACAAGCTCACAGGGCTAGACTATGGTCTAACACAGTCGAGGGGAAAGAAAACTAGATGGCTTCAAGAATATGGGGGAAAAAGTCTAAATTCATATGGCAAATTCATATAGCAAAAGATTCCCTATAGTTTATTGTATTTATAACAGTGAGGACACTTGTTTAGATATAGTACTAATTTAAAGGTAAAAGTTTTTGTTCCCAAACATATTAATTTCCTCCCCACATTGAGATGAAATAATTTGTTGTTAAACTTTTCCCAATATCTCCTAGTTTACAAAAATTCTAATGGGAATCATTAATTCAGTGGTAGAACTCTAGTCTTCCATTCCAGAGCCCCCAGGTTTGATTTCCAATTAAAATAACTTGTCTGGGCTAAGTCAGTTAGCATAGAGTGCTGCTAACGCTTAAATTGGGCATCTGATCTCTATGGGCCAAGAAACTCTTAAGACATATGCTGTACGTGTCTAGTTGTATCTCGTGAGAGTATGACAGCTGACTGAAATCCATGATCATTGCTGGAAAAGAAAATCAAATCCTATATCACATTGATAATGTGTTAGTAGTATCATCTTCAAATATCAGTCATTCAACAACATTTGTTATGTGCTTACTATGTACCTGACACTGTGCTAGCTCAGTGCAGATTATAAAAAGAGAGGCAAAGACATGCTCCCTTCTTTCAAACAGCATACATCCTAATGAGGAAGACAATATGTTAATAACTAGACACATATTGATACATACAAAATGGATGAAAGATAATCTCAGAGAAGGCACTAGCCTCAGGGAGAACAGAAAAAGAGCTGTAGAAGGTGGATTTTGAGGTACTGAATTTGAGTACTGAATGAAGCCAGGGGAACTGAGGCAAAAATGAGGGGACAGAGCATAAGGGACAGCGAGTACAAAAGCACAGGATCAGGAGATGGAGTGTCTTACAAGAGGAACAGCTAATAGGGCAGAATAGGTGGATCGTGGAAATGGTGGAAGTGAATAAAGTGTAAAATGATTGGAAAAGAAGAAAGGAGCCAGGTTATGAAGAACTTTAAATGCCAAACAGAGCAGTTTACACTGGATCCTGAGGATAATTAAATATGTGAAAGGGGAGCACATTCATTTAAAAATTCATCTCAAACTCCTCAACTCTCTTTTCATGGCCTGGCCAGCAGACTTACAAACTACCAGGAGGTGGAATGAAACCCCAAAGTGTCCTCCTTTTGTCTATCCAACAATCACCGGTAAATAAAAAAGTTTCATAAAATGTTATGTACAATTTGGGATTTGCAATTATTTTTGCAATTTGGAACCTGACCTGTTTTGAAATAGTTAACATTTCACAGAGATTACAGAGCAATGTCTGTTGTGTCTCCCCTAATGCTGTAAATGCTCTATTACTAACTGTGCCATATGGTTAGAAAAAGTTACTTGAAGAAGAACCAAAATCAGCCTGTCATTTCACTATTGTAGAAACTAAAGAAGTTTTGCTACTTCTAACACCATTCACTATTCCTATACCAAAAAAAAAAAGGATTTCAAGAGTTAATTGGTCAAGAGTTAACTGGTTAATTTACTAAATTGTAAATTGTGCTACCAACATTTCAGAAACATTTAGAAAATCCAGCTTTTAGGCAAGTTCAGAAATCCAGAAAAGCTGTAGAGATTGACTGAGAATATACTGGAAGAACTCAGAGAACTACCTGGAAGAAGATAGTATCCTGGCCAGATGCAAAACAAAGCAATTTCTCCCTTAAAAGCTACAGAGAGGAAAGATCCTGGTCCATTTCCCAGCCTGAAAAGTTACTGGATTTAATCCTGCGGAAGTGATTTTTTTGGGGGGGGGGTGTGACTCTGGCTCTCTTTTCTCTCCCCTCCACCCCAATTCTTCCCTTGAAAATGTAAACTGGTCAACTAGTTCACTCTGCCTTCTTCCTTCCACTTTCTTAACTCCATTCTCCTATCACTTCACCCCTCTTCTTTCTGAGGCTCCATCATATTTTTAGCCCTTTGTTTTGAACCACTCTGATTATTTTCCCCTACTTTCCAGAGGAAGGACGTTTCCTCCTTTCATTCTCTCCTGCTCCAGTGGCCCAGGCTCCTCTACTCCTGAGCGACTGACGAGCTGAGGTTGGACAACCGAAGGGTGAAGATATTCTATTTCCTAAGACCCCTAGGGGTTTGACATTTCTATGACGCCACAGTCTGTCCCACCTTCCCTCCCTTCTCCCAGGAACCCAAACTCTTTGGGCCTCTGAAAGTGGCTGGTGCCTTAGTCCCAAGAAGTCTCCACCTGACTCTTCCTCTCTGGCTAAGGGGAGTGGGGAGGAGGGGACATCTGGAAGGAGGCGATGGTACCTCTTCGCAGGCGTGAAGCTCGGTTCCCTGAGCCACCTGGAAAGCAGCCCCAGCCCAGAGCAGCCGCAGCAGCAGTAGCAACACAGCAGGAGGCCTCTCAGTTCTGTCCCAGTCTCTGGCAGAAGGATGGAGGCTGCTTCCAGCTCTAGCCATAGCGCCGCCAGGAGAGAGCTCAGCCTCAGGTGCGGCTGCCGCCACCGCTTCTGCTGGCAGAAGGAAGCAGAACCGGGAGGGAGGCACAAGGGGGGGAGGATGCAAGGGGTTGGGCTCGCCTCAGTCACCTCCCTGCTGCTAGCCCAGGGCCGCCCATCCTCCTCCTCCCACCTTCCCCTTCTCCTCCTTCTACTGGCGTCGCCTTGGCAACCGCCTCCTCCTCCCTTACGCGCGGGTGGGAAAGGGACCACGCGCGATGCCTTCGCCGCTCACCTGCCCGTCGCCATGGCAGCAGCAGCCGCCAAAGCTACCGCCCAGGCAAGCGCGCCGCGTGGGAGGGCACGCGCTGGAGGGCGACAAACGGCTTAACAGGCACGGAAACTGCGCTTGTAAGTGGAGCTTGAGACATTAAACAAAAATTCTACTGGCTCGTGGTCCAGGTGCATCAGTTGTGTGTGTGTGTGTGTGTGTGTGTGTGTGTGTGTGTGTGTGTGTGTAAATGCGGCTTCTTACGTAATGTAGTTCTCTATTTTAGGGAACTGCTTCTGAAAGTCTTCTTTCCTTCACTCCAAAGGCTGGGAGAAGCACGGGCTACCATTTGAGAAGCAACTGATGTAGTGGATGGAGAGCCGACCTTGGCGTCAAGAAGACCCGGACTGAAGTCCAGTCTGTGACACATATATGGCTTTGTGACTCTGTCTCTCCCAGCTCCAGATAACTCTCAGACTAGGAATTACAGAGGACCTGCTGATCAGCCTTAGTAGAGAGAATTTCTTTGCTGGGAGTACCCCAAACCAATAATAATAACTAACATTTATGGAAGTGGTTTACATATAATTATCCCATTTGTGAAATCACAGGTCCAGTTTGAGCGGCCCCTCTACTTTCAAAATACAGGACATTTTCTAGTGCGAATAAATACCTCTGCCCTTGGGGGAACAAGAGTACAAGGGAGGGACAGACAGGAGGCATCATGTGTCAGGCTAGTCAAACTACCACAACCACCTTGATCACTATCTTCTCTTCTATCCTGATGGAGACAGCTTAGGACTCTGAATTCAACCAAGGGCCTTGGGAATAAATAGTAATGCTTCAGTGCCCGGAGCCATCATCCTGGGAAGCAACTTTCATGAAAATGCATCCTGGCAACTGCTCATGCAGGTGCTCTAAGAAAAGAAAGTTCTTGTTTTTCAAGTCTTTGGCACGGTCCAGTGGTTCAACATTAGAAACTTATGATTTTTATCAGTGGAAATGACATTAAAGAAGGGGCATTACTATCTACTTTGCTGATAAATTCTAAGGACCACGGGAATTTTTCCATCTGATTTGCAGCTGAAACCTTTCATGTGTTGTCTACTTCATGATAATGTTAGTTACTGAAGGACAGAGACTATCTTACTTTTTTATTTGTATCCTTTGCGTTTAGAATGTTTTATTCATTTATTCATCTGAATTGTGGCTCTGATGTTCACTATGTGGCCATAGGTAAGTCACTTAAACTATCTGAGTCTCAGTTCCCCCTGCCCATTTGGAGATAAAAATAGTTGCACTAGCCACCTCACAGGACTATTGAGAAAAGTGCTTTGCTAATCTTACAACGCTAGAGAAATACAAGTAACTATGTCGAATTCCTCAATAGCTTTGCCAAGGGCAGAAATGTCATTTTCTTCCTATATAGGGAAAATAATTTTCCACACCATCTTTCGTGACTTTTTTCCCAAAGTAGAAATCTCAAGACGTGTATTGTCTGTTTCCACGTGAGGCAAATTCTCCTGCAGACTCCTGGAAAGCTGTGGGTTTCCTTTGCGACACCGTTCCCTAACCCAGTGCAGAGGATTGAGCGTTAGACCTGGAATCAGGAAGACTTGAGTTCAAATTTAACCTCAGACACTTAGTAGCTGCGTGACCCTGGGCAAATCGCTTAATCCTGCTTGCCTCAGTTTCCTCATCTGTAAAATAAGCTAGAGACGGAAATGCCAAACCACTCCAGTATTTTTTGCCAAGAAAACCCCAAATGGGATCACGAAGAGTAGGACATGCAAAACGACTGAACAACCCTAACCCCCACTCCCCACCACCCCCTGAACTCGCAAAGTTTCTCTGGCAGCGATGTGTCGTCACTCAGACTAGCTCAAATCCTGCCGCTAGGGGCCTCTCTAGTCACAGAGGAGGCGGGGTGTCGCCTAGCAACCCGTGCGTGGGATTCCAAACAAGTGGCACTCGAGATCTGCATTTGTTAATGTGGCTGGTTCTGCGCGCTTTGACAGAGTTCGCTTCTCACTATGCCGCCTACTCGAGTCGCTATACAAACCCCCAAGTTCCAGATTGAAGATACCCACGTGGGCAAAAGGGACTCCCAGGTATATCTCCAGGGATCTGGGATGGGGGTGGAGTGGGCTTCATTTCCTTTCTACAAGGCAGAGAGACGTGTGGGCAAAAGAACAGAACACAAGATTACGAATCTGAAGACAGGTTCGAGTCCTTGTTCAGACTATTGACCTGCTGTATAACATCAGGATAGTCATAAACTCCCCGACCTGGAAGGCTTAGCGGTCCAGAAAACTTATTTATAAATAAACGACCACTATTGTTATCCTGTGAGGAAGCTATCAAGGTCTTTGTCTTCCTATGTAGGGTTTTGGAAATTGATGGGTTCATGGGGTATCCTGGAGATGCACTCTTGGGTAACAGGTCTTATAGTACCCCAAAATGAGCAAGATTCAGTTTAAAGCAATGTGACTTTATGCTAGCTCCGTTTTCCTAAGGCCCTCATATCTCAGTATCCTATCACTTCAGCCTTGAGTCATTCGGAGTGAATAATGGAGTGCCGTGAAAGGAAGTGCTCTAAAACAGGGTAAAAGAGTCATACATGTATTTTCAATACTATCCTTCAATCCTTCCAAACTCCTGGATTTTTAAAATGTTATAGCAACAACAAACATTTGTCAAGGCCCTTAATTTTTCATAGGACTTTGCAAAGATTTTTCTCTTGCATTTTCTCATGTACCCTAGTATATTAAATATTTGTGTATTTCTTTTTCCTTCTTCATTAGACTCTGAGATCCTTGAGAACAGGAACAGTGTCTGTCTTTGCATCCTCAGTCCTGGAACAATGTTTCAAATAGAGTAGCCAATTTGAATTCGAAGTAAGCCCAACTATATGCAAGGCACTATTTCAGAATTCAAATAATTTTTCTGAAGTGATTTGGATGCTTGAAGTGGAGAAGAATAAGAGAAATTAGAGTAATTGCTACTTTAGAGCAATTTTTTTTACAGGTATTCTGATGGATTTTGGGAGAGAGTTCAAGCAAATCACTGCTTTTACTCCGCCATCTTGGCTCCCCCCCCCTTTTTTTACTTTTTGGTGAGGGAATTGGGTTAAGTGACTTGCCCAGGGTCACACAGCTAGTTAAGTGTCAAGTGTCTGAGGTCGAATTGCTACATTATGGCAAAAAACAAAGATTATTCTGTCTCCTAATGCTTAGGCACATAGCTCACAATCAGAAACTTTTGTTTTTTGTTTTTTGTTTTTTTTAGGCAATTGGGGTTAAGTGACTTGCCCAGGGTCACACAGCTAGTTAGTGACAAGTGTTTGGTCTGAGGCCAGATTTGAACTCTGGTCCTCCTGACTTCAGGGCCAGTGCTTTATCCACTGAACCATCTACCTGCCCCCACAATCAGAAACTTTTGCTCTAGAGAGGTAAAAAGCAGGCATTGAAATAACTTCATGACCATATGGTATACTTAGCTTTAATGTGATTATATTAGCTTATAAGATAATGGGGTTTTACCTGTAGTTAGGGTATTAATTATGTTTTGATGCTTCCCTAAGTTTTTTTCTTTCCTATCCTATGAGATTTTTTTTTATTCTTCTTGATATATCTATATCATGACACTGATTGACCAGCCCCATCATTTAAAATTTTTTCCTTCCTTTGCCTCTGTGACAAATTATCCTGTTTTTCCTGTCTCTTTTACCACTTCTTGTTTGGTCTTCCAACTTCTGCATGAATTTCTCCCTTCCTATCTTTGCTTTGCTTTTTTCATTTCTCCTCTCTTTGAGAAAGCTCAACCACTCTCATGGTTTCAATTATCACCTTTTTGCAGCTGACTCCTAAATCTACATCTCCAGAGACTGTTCCATACTCTAGACTGTAGCTGCATCACCGCTACTAAGGCATTTACACTTGGATACTGTCACTACAAATCTCAATATCTCTAACTTGAAACTCACCTTATTGTCAAACAAGCATCTCTTCTTGACTTCCCTATTTCATTGTACGATAACTATCATTCTGCCAGTTATCAAGACTTGAAACATTCAAGGGTCAAGATTCTGGATTCTGGCAACAATTGTCATCCTTTATCTAACTCTAGAGATTCGGCTTCTGGATGCGGAGGAACAAGTGGAGAGCTGTCATGAAAACCACCAGGACATAGCCCTCTGATGGCTGTGATTTGTGTCTTACAGAAAACCCCCTACACCAGCCCAACCCATATTATCCAGCAGCAGGATCCTTGGAACCGGCTCTATGCAACTACCACAGTTGCCAGTATCAGGCGGGATGTATATTTCTATGACCCAGAGGTACAGAGAACTAAGAATCCATTTCTTCCTGTCCTGGAACCATTAGGAAAACAATTTTTAAGGAAATATGGTCAGACTTGGACCTTTTTGGAAGGTCTGTCCTTCCTTATCTATAATCTAAAGGTCTACCAAAAAAGTAATCCAGAACTCTCCTGCCCCACTCCCCACCTCATTCTCAGGTTTCTGGAAAAAGAATCACCGAGAGTAAATCCTGTTCTTGGCTCTGGTTCACCTTGAGCAAGTCACTGTCTTTCTGTGGACTTCCCATGTTCAATTGGCTAAAATGCAAGAGGAGCCTAACCATGGAATGGATTAATATTGATCTCACACAGTACAAGTCAATTATAAAATCCTCTCAGGGGTCTTTATTAGAAAGGGGAGTAGGGATTAGACTCATCTAAATCAGAAAATCAAACTTAATTAAAGTTAAAGGATTATTGTGTTAAGCATCGAGGAGTGCCTCTTATGCAGGATGTCCCAAAAGTCTTAGTGCCGTTTTAATCTATTAGAACTCAAAGCAACAGCTTTTAAGCTATTAGAGCTTTAAATAGCACTGAGACTTTTGGGACATCTTGTATAAGGACTTGCTGCTGGCTCTCAGCAGAAGCAGAGTCCCTACTAAGCTCTTTGGGGGAGAAGTAAAGAGGAATAGGGCTTGGTAAGAGCAAAAGGCCTATAAACAACTGTCCTGCTGGCCTCCACTGCAGATCCCCTTGGATGACTTGGATTTCCGAATAACATCCTTGTACAATCATCATACTGGATTGTTTCAGGACAAGGCACAGGCACTAATCCATCAGGAGACCATTAAGGATACCCATGGGTAAGTGGATCAGACAGTGAATTCTAATAAGAGCAGTCAGTAACTTAAGGGGAAAAGTTTGGCCCCAAGCTTCTTTGCTGAATCTACATATCACCTTCTCACTTCAATATCACAGTATAATTATGCCAAGAATTTTATCAGGAAGGATCTGACTTCTCCAGCCTAGGGAACTCCTGGCAGATTGCAACCCTTCTATCACTTAGTAGATAAATCCTAGGGAAGTTGACTAAAGCCTAGGATCACACTAAGTACCATAAAGAGAATTTGAACTTAGGACATTCTGACCCCAAATCTAGTAGTCCCATCCACTAGGCCACATTATTTCTGCAATAGGATCACAAAAGGTAAATTGTTGGCCTGAAAAAAATTAATATTCTAATTTATATATATACACACAAATATATTTTGTATGTGTACCTTTATTATATATGTGTATACACACACACACACACACACACACCTGGTATAATCTTTTCATGGTTTTCAATAAATGTTTAAATGGACAGAAATCCCTCTGTGCCCTCCCTTGCTAGATATGCCTATACACCAGTCCAGTCTAGCTGGATACCTGCTACACCACCAGTCTAGCTGCTCAGCAGAAATACCCTTGGAATCAATTCCAATCAATTTCCAGTTTTTTTTTGGCATCAGTTGGAACATATAAGCTCAAGATACAGAGGACTGAAAATTATTTTTCTCTAGCTTTGGGTTAGCCTAACCTGAATAAATGATAATCTCATTTATACACACCTTCAACATTTTAAAGCACTTTTTTCACAACAATCACCCTGTAAAAGGTAGTACATGTAGTATTATTCCCATTTTACAGATAAGGAAACTGAGACTGAGACTTTAAGTGACTAGCCTAAGGTGAATGGGCAAAATTATTTTTAAAAATGTTTACTCTGCAATTCAATTAAACAAACACCTAGAACTACTATTATGTAAGGCCTAGGTCCTGAGGATACAAAAACAGAATTGAAAATGCACTTGCCCTACTGGAAGGGGACCTGATTGGTAGAGAGGAACATAGAGGTATTAATCATGTCAGATCTGGGGTTTGAACTCAGGTCTCCTAACACCAAGGTCAAAGTTCCTGCCACTATACTAAGACTCTTCATTGTTTTTTCCCCCAAGAAAATCAAGATTTAGATCCACAGGATTTGAATCCAAGTCCTACCTTATCCACTATGCCTCACTTCCTCTTCCACTTAATCATTGTATGAACCTGAGCCAGTCAGAGGTTCATAGGATCATTGATTTGGAGAGGGAAAGGTACTAAGAGGTCATTGAATCCAATGCCCTCATTCTACATCTGGGAAAACCAAGGCCTACAGAAGGTAGATGACTTGTCCAGGATCACGGTTGGTGAGTGTTCAGAGAACACTGAAAAAAACAAATTTTCTGACTCTAAGGTCACTGCCCTATCCACTACTCCACCCTGCCTCTCAGTTCCTCATATTCCTCATGTGGGCAGGACGATGAAAATCCTTACACTGTCTATTTCACAGGATCAAACAAGAAAATGTATGCAAAAATATATACAAATATATATGTATATGAGGGTTTTTAAATCACAATTTAAAGTGACTTTGAAGTTTAAAAAAAAACTGATCACATGAAGCTTGAGCTTCTGAAATGCTATTCTTACGGGTCAGCTTTGGAATTCTGCTGCATTTGACCCTCCTCTGGCTTCTTTCCCCGGTTTCTTCCAGATCTGTCAAACTCCAGTACCCAGACGAGATACTGCCTCCTCCTCCCCTACCTCCCATTACTACTCGAGCAATGATGAGACACTGGGTCAGCCCCAAGAAGGACTCAATCCACAGTGTCCAAGGGACCATAGGTGAGGCTAGTTGATAACTGGGAAGGTGGATGTGGAGAGTGTTTGTCTTTTAAAAAGGTCCCTAAGCCATATGCTTTCCTTATTGAAAGCAGTGATGGAGACATTTAGGGAGTTAGGTGGTGTCTGGTGGTGCCACCTACTGGGGAAAATGAGGTCTGGGGAGCATATGGGTTGGCTCAATCTAGCCCAAGGAGACAAATGGCTACACAGAAAATTAACCTTAAAGGCAGTACCCAGGAGTGATGGGCACAGTATGAGAACTGAAGAAAGGCAGCAGACATTACTTTTACAGCAGGGGGAAGTTTTACTTGTGCAAAGCACTGCTATACCTTTTTTACTTGTGCAAAGCACTGCTATACTGGCTGCTTCTTGAACTGAAATAGGAGTCTCCTTCAACAATGCACTGAGACCTCAGGGGTGACAGGGGTTCTCAGAGAGAAGGCAGCTGACCTGAGCATCACAGCTTACCAACTCTTGTGTCTCATTTCTCTGCAGTAGCCCCTCACAACGCAGCCACCAATGGCGGCTATTCCCGAAAGAACGATGGCGGCTTCTTCTCCACTTAGGCTTACCATTGCCCACATGAGTAACTCAAGCAGAGGCTCTGCCACTTGCTAGCCCTTCCCTCTGCCCCTCGCCTCCATTAAATAAATTTGTGTTCAGATGAACCTTTGAAGGTATCTGATGTTTTCCAGGTGGGAGGGGTGAAGATTACCATCTGGATACCTGCAAAATGTGGGGAACTTTCCTCAGAGTCAAAAACAAAGCCAAGCTAGAATTCTCAGTATTGAGGAAAAACAAACAAACTTATGAATTTAGAATGGAAGAGCAAAGGCTTTTGTGGGGGAGGGGTTAGCTTGTAAATTAGGAGCAGCTAGGTGGTACAGTGGATACAGTTCAGGCCTAGAGTCTAGAAGACTCATTTTCCTGAGTTCAAATCTGGCCTCAGACACTTACTAGCTGTCTAACCCTGAGCAATTCACCTAACCCTTGTTTGCCTCAGTTTCCTCATCTGTAAAATGAGCTGGAGAAGGAAATGGCAAAACCACTCCAGAATCTTTGCCAAGAAAACCCCGAATGGGGTCGTGAAGAATTGGAAATGACTGAACAACAAGCTTATGTTAGTCACTTCTTTTTGTAGCTCTGGATACCCACTCCCATCAGGTCTTCTTAAACATAAGCTCCAAGAGTCCACAATATTTCTTCCCCAGATATGAGTTCCTGGGGATTTCTTTGGCGACCTGAGGAAGCATCCTTTGCAGTTCTCTTGGTCTTATCATCCAATTAGAGTTTTAAGCCTAAGGTTCTGAGTTGTTTCTTTTCCACCTTCTCCTACTACAATTTCCTTAACTCAAGGTCAAATTTCCCTTGAGTCCAGTCTATGTAATATGAAATTTTAACACTAGTAACCTATTAGAGAAGCAATAAACTCCAATATATAACATTATCCAGTACTTGGATTGACATCTCTTGGATCTATGTGCTATTTGAATAATTGAGAGAAAATGGAGAAAAATTGAGAGTGGACCACCACTAATGAGTCAGAGGTGAGAGCCTATTGTGTGGTGCACTTACATGATAAGGGACCAGTGAAACAGAGACAGCTCAGTACAAGCTATGGAAAGTTAAATCAGCTCATCCTTGTGTCATTCAGTTGTCTAAGTTAGTTCCTGGGGGTCCAGGGGTAAGGTAGTTCCCTGGGCTGTTGCCAATCTCTTACATCTTGGTTTAGTCTAATCAGAACAATCAAATAGCACTCAAGGAGATTCAGTTTACTGTCAAATCCAGAACTAAGAAAATTTTGGTTTCTAGGTCATCATAGTAGCTAGCAATTTCATCCTGATACCTGGCATTTTTCTACCAGGAAAGTAACATCAGAAAGGCTGACTTTACATTTTGTCTGTGCTTCTGGCCCACAGCAAAGGGAAGGAATTTGACTTAATGGTTAGGAAAAACTATGTAAAGACAAAGACTAATAGAGTGAAGTTAAAAGGTAGAAAATGGAGATAAACATTAAGGGAAGGGAGACAGGACTTGACAGATGGAATTGGGGATGGAGGCAAGATTGGGTATCTTTTTATTGGGTACCAATGGTAGGTCAGTTTGAAAGCCATTTAAGTATGTATTTCTTAGGGTTTTACAAAACATAGGTGGTGTTTCTATACCCTTTCATTGGTATACCCATTTCCAGTTCATGGTTACTTCCTCCATTCATATGACTCCTAAATATTTTCACCTGGTGGGCACCCCCCCCCCCAATCCACCCACCCAGCCTCTTTCCACCAGTCATGCATTTCTAGCTGACTACTGGTTATCTCTGGCTGGGCACCTGAAATTGAACATATCTGAAACTGAACTCATAACCTCATCCTTAACCTCCTAAATCTGCCTCCCCCGGACCTAATTTTATGTCAGTCACCTCGGTGTATAACCCTGGAGCCACATTAGATTCATATCTCTTCTCACTCCCCACAGTAAAGTTGAATAATTTCTACCTGTGCAAATTTCTCATATCCAGTCTTCCTCCATTCCCACCGAAGTAATCTAGTTCAGGCATTTATCTTCAATTATTTTAACAGCTTCCTAATTGGATTCCCTGCCTCCAATCCATCTTCCACATTCCACCTGAATAATCTTCATTGCATCTGATCATGCCACTCTTCTACTCTGAAATCTTTACTGGCTCCTCACTGCCTCCCTAAAAAAGCAAACTTCTGACCCTGATATTCAAGGCCTCCCATAATCTGACTACACTTTAACCATCAATCTTTATTTCAATACTGTTCCTCTTCACATAATCCATGTTGTTCCAATCAAACAGGTCTGTTTTCTGGCCCTTATTTTCATCCTGTCCTTTCCCATTTCCATGTCTTTCTTTACTACTTCCTCTCTACCTAGAGAGCTTCAGAAACCTGTTTTTCTAGGCCCAAATCAGATGCCACATCTCTGGGAAGCCTTGCTCCTCCAGATAAAAGTCATCTTTTTCTAAACCTTACCTCCCTTCACTACTCCTTTGCAACTTTAACTATTTGTGTACGTCACCCTCCATTACACTGTAAATTCCTTGAAAAGCAGTTACATTTCTCTAGTCCATGAATTTGTACTATTTCCCATGCTTGGAATGCTCTCCTTCCTCATTTTACCTCTTAGCTTCCTTCAAGACTCAATTTAAATTCCACCTTCTGTAGGCTTCCCCCAGTTTACCAGCTTACCCCAGAACCTTCTTTCTGAGATTTCCTTTCACCTACAGTGTAGGTATCTTGTTTTCAAGTATTTACATGTTGTCACTCCCATTAGAATGTGAGGTCCTTGTAAGCAGGAAGAACATTGCTTTCTTTGTATCCTTAGCACCTAGTACCTGGCACAGTAAACCCAAAATAAATGCTTTTCGTGCTCTACTCTACCTTTTAAGAACATACTGTGGGTATAGGTATTCCTGAAAGAAAGCTTGGACATGGCCAAAGAGTTGGCTACTGCTTTGCTTAGTGTTTTCTGCTGCTGTAGGGGCAGATCAGCCTGTGGTCTTCTTTTCTTCTTCATTTGCTGCACTCTCCTTGGCAGCAAGTGTACTTGACCAGGTAAAGCAGAAGGGCTTTCACAACTTGTTTTGGTAGCCAGGTCAACAAGCTTAAAGAGTCAACCTCAACTTGGTGGCTAGGAGGCCTGTTCTGATTGGAAAAGGCAGCAACAGTTTGAGTGAATAATTGGCTGCACATAGTTTGATAAATTTTGCAGTCCTCTGGTGTAAAGAGAAGGGTAATCCCACTAAAACCTGAGTTTTTCTGAACTCCCTTTAAAGGGCGACGGTTAATGGAAAGGGCTTATAACATGTCATGTTCATATGGAGAAGATGAGGAGTGTTCAGGGTAAACAGACAAGCAGGAAACAGTTATGCCTGGTGCTAGTATTCTTGAATAGACTGATAAATAACATTGAAACCTGCAATCCGAAGTTGTGTTTTCCTCCCATATCTGTCTGCTTCTCTGAAAAATTCCTCTAATGTGTATCTAGTTTTCACCATCTCTCAGGTGAGGTGCTGTAGCATTCAAAAATTATGCACAGGTCATTTTCAGTCTCAAACTGTCCATATCTGAATGTGGACATTTGAAAATTGTTTTTTCATGCCCATTTAATAGCAGATTATGGTGTATATTGAGAGCATGATATAGCTTTATATGTGTATTGTGATTTATTATGCCTTTTGTTTTAACATTAATATCTATGGAATTTATTTGGCCTAATTGTTAAATAAATGGTTATGTATGAGAAAAAAAAAGAACTAAAAGTTTACTCTTTTAGCTGCTAGTGTCTTCCGTCCCTCCTAATTTATATATATATATGTGTGTGTGTATGTACATGATCTATGTATCTTACATGGATATGTACATGTATATTTCCATATATATAAATTTACATATATATAAATGTGGGAGGGGAGACACGCCTATTTATATGGGCACATACTGTTTCCTCCATATAAGGTAAGCTTTCCAATGGACACTTTCCTATTTGTCCTGTATCCCCAGTACCTGGCACATTATAGTGGGCAACTATTAAGTGACTGATTGATAATCCACTGTTACTGATGGCTAACATAAAGCACCATACTTGTCCAAAAGAAGCCAGGTCTACAGCGATAAGAAATTTCGGGGGTCATTTAGGCCAAACCCCTTAATTTACAGCTGCGGAAATGGATGCCCCTAGAGCTTATGACTTGCCTAAAGTCAAAGTAACCAACTGGTGACAGTTTGAATTGCAACGGTGGTCCCCCGACTCCATCCGGGACTCCGATGGCCAGCTGAATTGTATTTATTTATTTTTTAACTTGAAAAGAAGATCTTCAAATTGAAGGAAGGATGGCCACCACTATGCAAATCCTCATTTGGCAGAGGGCTGAGCCCCTAGGACTCCGGCGCCGCTCCTCCCCGCACCGGGATGTCTCACTGCCCATCGTTAGGTGGATGCCCGCCGGCCCCACAGGAGCTCAGGGGCGCCTGGCGGCGGGGGGTCCTGGGGGGAGGGGCGGGTGGCTCGCTCAGATCAGAATCGCCTCGATACTCAAGGGCTAGGGCGAGCCCCGCCTCATCTATCTGATCAACTCATCACTTCTGAGCGCCCGGCCCGGCCCGCGGAAGGGCTGGCTCGGGGAGCCCGGGAGCGGCCGCCGCCTGTTCGCACAGGTCTCGCCGCACAGCGTCCCGGCCACGGCCGGTCGGGGCTTCGCGGGAGAGGAGCTTCTCATCTCGGGCCGGGCCGGCGAGGCGTGAGCCCGGCCCGATCAAATAAGATCAGAGTGTAGGGGGGGAAGGGCTCAGGAAGGGCCGGCTCGGCACGCGGGCACGCACTCTCCTTGCACGCACGCACTCGGCCTTGCACCACACACATTCACTCGCCTTCCACGCGTCCTTCCACGCTAAACTCGGCCACCTCACGCACATCAAACACCACGCGTGCAGAGACCTTACCGTTACCTAGACCGAGATCCCGCCTATAAAACCTTGCCCCTTCCGGCAGCGCCCTTTATAGCTTCTTCCGCCTGCGGGGGCCCACCCCCTCCCCCGGCCCCTCGGCTCAAGGGATTATGGGAGTAACCATAGAGCTCTCGCCGGACAGAACGTCTTCTAGGCGTCGGCAGGCGCTGCCCCCTGGTGTTGAAGGAGGGGAACCAGCCAGGCTGGGAAGTGATCAGGGGGCGTGGTTTCCTATAGAAAACTTCCACATCCCGGAGAAAGCGGAAAATAACGAATGCGTATTGAATGTTTTGAAATCGAATGGCATATAGCTCTACGGGCTTTACAAAGAGCTCCCTTCACAACAATCCTGCGAGATGGGTTATTTTTGGCCAGGAACTGTGACAGCTCTGGTGTAGGGAACTCCCGGTATGGAAACGGCCTTCACTAATACGCCCAGCAGTTTATTGTAGTAGAGATGACACTGAGAGTTTAGTGACTTGCGCGGGCTTTTACAATTAGTTGCACTCAGAACCTGAGCCCAGATCTTGCTTACTCCAAAGCCTGTCCTCTATCCGTTATGCCCTGCTGCTTCTCTGTGAGACAGGCACTACAATGATTATTGTCCCATTTTACAGAAGAGGTACCAGAACACAGAGAGGTGAAATGTGTCCTACCAAACTCAAAATTTGAATCTCTGTCTTTCCTGACTACAAGTCCACTGTTCTATTTACTAAAATGCACTGGGGGAGTAATTCTTCATAAGTCCACTAGTACTGTTCATCTTTTTCTGAAGATATTTTCTCTATTTAGAGTAGATTTTCCTGATTTAGAGTATAAATTCATTGAAGACAGATTGTCATGTTCCTTCTTATGTGTCCAGTGCTTTACATATAAAAGGTGAATATTCAGGATGTATATGTTGATTTTGATGGCGTCTCTGCAGCAGCCTCCAGTTTTTTTCCCCCTAAATTCTCATTCTTTAATGTAATAATTGTGACAACTTAGAGAAGTCCAAGCACCAGATCTGAAATAAGTCACTTCTCATCAGTTGTAAAAAAGTAAGTTTCATATGAACTGATAAAGTAAGCAAAAAAAAAAAAAGGAAAACAATATAGACACAATTACAATTTAAGTAGAAACGACTGAAACTGAATGACTCAAAATGATAATGACCAAGTTTAGCCCCAAAGAAGAAAGAGAACAAGACACCTATCTCCACTCCCTTCTTTGAGGAGGTGGGAGGCTATGGTTGTGAAACATTGCATACAACACCAGACTTCCTGGATAGGTAGTTAGCTTTGCGAACTTTTTTATTGTTTTTTGTTTGTTTGTTTTTGTCACAGGAATGGCTTGATAGGAGGGGAACCCCCTATTGGGAAATGTAAACACAAAAGTCATCAATAAAAATAAGTCTTTTAAAGATACATGTCTTTACACTCTTATATTATCCTTGCAGAGGTAAAGAGCTGTGGTGGTGAGACATTACGTACAACATCTGACTTCTTCAATATGTTGCTTAATTTTGAAAATTTGTTTTCCTCTCTTATTTATTATAAGGAACAAAAGGCAGCATGACTGTGTGGTCCTATTCAAGTCATTTAACTTCTCAATGCTAACCTTAAGTTGCAGAAAAGGTACCTACCTGCACTGGTAAAGGGATTTTCCTCACCTAGAAATTCCTTAGATATGAATGAAATCACTGAAAGAGTTCCTATCTCCTCTCATAAGGTATGGCTTTCTTGGGGGAAGGGTATACACTGGGAAATGTAGGTGATATAAAAACAAAAGATACCAATAAATTTTTTTTAAAAAAGATGCTGCTTCCATTGGTCGGTTTCATTTGTGAAATGTGGATGTTAGCATTACCTGCCATAATGAGCTTGTTAGGAAAATGCTTTGTAAACCTTAAAAGCACTATGTAAACATGCATTATTATTGTTATTATTATTAACTGGTGGCATCCTTAGTCAAATATAAATATAGCATCAGCTCCCAACTCTCAAAGGAAGAAGGCAAATTAATTTTATTAAAGGAAAAGTTGAAAGTTTCAATGCTTTTTAACTGCTTCATCCAAGGTCACAAAGCTAGACAGGGCTAATCTCTGACAAAATGTATACAAAGTATAAAATTTCCCTAAGGGTCTCTAATTTCCGTCTTCATTATCCTTCTGCCTCCAGCTAATCCAAGTTCCCCAACACTGAAACACTCTTCCTCACCATCCAAATGTACCTGTGGTACTCCCAAAAGGCTTTGCTAGGTGACTGGCTAAGAGAATAAAGTGACTTGGAATAAAATTCCAAGAATTTTTAAACTAACTTTTATAGGTGACTTTTGTTGTTACATCAGGGTCATTTCTGGCTATACCCTTCCCCCCTGTCCCAACCCCTCAAGCATGGAATCCTCCCTCAAAGCAGAGAAAAACAGTTTAAGAAAACCAATTGATATGTGGGATAGTGTCTGGCAGCATATATGCAACATTCTACACTGGGGTCCTCCAGCCTCTTTGCCTAGAGAAAGAAGGTACGTTTTCTTATCTGCCTGTTCTCTGGGACCAAGTTTGATTATGATTGCAACTCAGAGTTTGGGTTCTTTTTAGCGTTCTTTTGCTTTATGTTCCTGTTGTCACTGTATATCTGTTCTCCCGGTTCCATCCTTCCATGATTTGTTGTTATTGTTGTTCAGTTGTGTCTGATTCTCTGTGACACCATTTGAGGTTTTCTTGGCAAAGGTGGTTTGCCATTTCCTTCTCCGGTTCATTTGACAGATGAGGAGACTGAAGCAAACAGGGTTAAGTGACTTGCCCAGGGTCGCACAACTAATAAGTGTCTGAGGCCAGATTTGAACTCAGGAAGATGAGTCTTCTTGACTCCTGGTCCAACATTCTATCCACTGCACCACCTGATAAACTGGTTCTAAGTAGGGATAATAGTTACCATGCAAAGAGTACTGAATCTGGGAATCAGGAGACCTGGGGCATGTGTAATCCTGGCCCTTTGACCCACTAGCTATATGACTATGTCAGCAAATAACTTACTCAGCTCTAATAAGGACAATAGTATTAGCACTGCCTACCTCATAAGGTTCTAGTGAGGAAAATTCTTTGTAAACCATAAAGGGCAATTTAAATGTTCTGGCCAGATTTCCAGATGGAAACATACTATCTCCTGCCTCACTAGGCTTCCAGAGGCCTCCAAGCCACTAGACCACCAGCCCGTGTTTGTGCTTGCCACGAAGTGGGGTACCAAGGCAGGGTCCCACTAGGCATCAACTCTTGCCTCCTGCCTGGGTTCCTTGTGGCCCCTATACCACCTCCTGCTCCTTTCTGCCTTGAGGCAGGCTTCCAGATGATTCCTAGGATACAATCCCACATGCCATGAGGACATGCTGATATCTTGAGGGCTGATCCTGAATCTTCTAGTTACCCGCATTTATCATAAGCTCTCTCTATCCACTGATACTCTGTAATCCGATGGTTAACATACTCACATCCCTTCTTCTTCTCCCCATCCCAGTGATGCTGAATCCCCAGCTTGTGATGAACAAAACACATTCCCCAATCTCAGCTGTCCCCTTTCTTGTTCTCACAAAAACCCTACACCCTACATCCAGCAATGTTCTACTCTAGATCTGCCTGCCCCTCCCACTGCTCCATAATTCAACCAATTTCCTTTCATTTTTAACCTCTTCTCTCTCGCTCCTTCCACCTTCTGGTACTCACTGAGACTTGGCTCGTCCAGATGATGATGAATCTGTGGTTGTCCTCTCCAGGACTAGCCATACTCTCTCTCATCCACCCCTCCCTTCTACCTGTTCCCAACCCTTCACACACACACACACACACACACACACACACACACACACACACACAC